CACACACACACACACACACACACACACACACACACACACACACACACACACACACAAACACATACACACACACATACGTATCGAGATGGGGCACCCTCTATTATCAACACTACAGTTTCGAGAATTGCAGTGTCACAATAACCCTTCCATTAAGAAAACAATATAACCCAAAACGCGTTTACACTCATTCCTATCTAACATAGTTTTTTAACATAGTACCCAGCGACAACCTATCAATTTAACAAGAAATGCGGAGACACCCCATGTGAGGACCGGTGAATATCACATCATGATTTGTGGCGACACATCAATATAACCTGAAACGTGTAAACGCCCATGCCCGTCAAAGGCTTTCCTACGCATCAAACATAGTTTTTTTAATTACTGCTCTCGTTGACCGTTTCGGTCGTTGCCCGTCCTCTTTGTCGTCACCTTCCACTCGTGGTGCAGCGCGGTCATCTTTCTAGTCGTTATCTTGGATCATATCCTCGCCCGTACTCTCCGATCTCATATCTATTACAAAAATGTGTTCGCGAGATCCCTCACCTTTCTTCGTCTCCTCTGTTGTTGCCGCCACGTGCTCTGGCGCCACCTTCATGGTCTGGCTTTCAACATCTTGGCCCGCATCGGTCTCCATCATTTCAGATACGCCTTGCCTTGCCGCCGTTGTCGCGACAAGAGACCCGAAAGATCCAACGATTGTTGCCCCATCATTAACCCCGTGCGTTGGCGGCTCTGTCAATGTGTCGGACTCCATGTCGTCGCCGTCCTTGCGTATCATAGTGGAATCCCCCATTGCGCTTCTCTTTGTGCTTTGTTGAATACATGCTCGTAAATGTTCATTCTGTAAGTGACATGCGTTCACACGTGTGTCCGTTTCGCAGCCTGCATCCTCTCTGGCCATCGCAACGATGGTGTTAGACGCGATGACGTCTTGAGTCTTCAGAGAGGTGATGCTATCGATTCCTTGCACTGCTGACGCTTGTTTGATTTTCCAATCGATGGAGCCATACGACACACTTGATGCAAGGTCGTAGAACTTTGTGCTGAATTCTAGTTGTTTGTTCGCACGCAGTTGCTCAAACAAAGTTTTCGCCTTTGCCGCTACAGCCACCTTGGTTGCACCGACATTTTCTTGTGTAACCCGCCGAAAAAGTTGCGTCTCTGTCACGCTGTGCCATATCGCAGCGTCCTTGCTTTCCTTCGCGACCCACCCGCGGTCTCTTGTCTTCACAACCATTTGCCACTTGCCCGCAAACACGCACGGTTCAAACACGCCCTCATGCCAGAGAATATGATGACCCCAGTCCTCCTCCGATGACTCCTTGTATTTGTCTTGCAGCAAGTATGGCACTGAAGGGTCTTGAGCAAAGCCTTGAGGTAACAGTTTTCCTGGCATGAGCTTCGGCATGACTGTTGTCATATCCATATTTTCATCTTCATATGTGTCCATCGACGTGAGCATTCGCTGCTCGGCTTGCGGTGCATGTGTCGATGATGGTTCAACTGCCGGGGGTCATTTCACACTCATTTTTTTCTTCCCCCGTGTTGCCCCGTGAGTTAACAATTCCCTCACTCACACCCACCGGGTTCGTTGGTACACCATTCCTTTCTCCCTTTGCATTCATTCTATGTTCCACGTCTCCCTCACTAGCATGTGTCGCTCCCAAACTCGACCTCGCCTTCTCCGCTTCTGCGTTGGTGCTCCCTTGCGGCTCCTCGGCACATGCTCCCCGTACCGAACGTCGTGTCGCGCGCGACGGAACGTCCAGGTCGGAGTCTGACCTGTCTTCGTCACAATCGATGTTGTTGAAGTTCCCCGCTTTACGTGCCAAGTTCGCATAGTCCCTGCATCACAGTGCTCTTTTCTTCATATTGAAATACAGATGCTCACAACGTGCGACGAACATGTTGAAAGCACCCATGTGCGATCCATGGTACTCGTTCATTGCTATCTCGAGTTCACTTTTCTTGATGACGTATTCGTTATCAACCGCCGACCGTGGAGCGTCACTGAACAAGTAAGCCCACACTTTCCCCCTCTTCATGCCAAGCTTATAGTAAATGTCCCGGTCCTTGCGGTACTCGACTTGGGTCTTTTCGAACCTGCATTTGTTCCTCGGATCCTTCACATAAAACTCCAAAAACTTGGAAAGGTATGTGAGCTCTTTTGTCGTGTCGTCACACGCAAACACGTGATGTCCGGCGCTAGCGAGTTCCCAAATCAGTCCCGCATGCGCCCTGCCCAACAGCATCACGCCATCGTCCTCCCTGATGAACAAGCTGCACAGTTTTCGGAGACGTGATGACTCTCGTTCCATCCAATAATAAACCGCGTCGGTGTCGCCCTCCACGCCCATACTCTCCCCTGAGCACCTCACAAATTCACTTTCTTCAACGTTCAAATTTGTCAACTCGGCTCGCAATTTCGGTGCAATCGTTATATTGTCCAAATTGTCGTTCTCGGCGTGGAGGACAATAGCCATCATGTCAGTGTACCGAACTGCAATGTTGTCGTACTTGTTCAAGGTTGTCGAAAGTGTATAGTGTCTGTACCATGACCCTGTGAGCACCTCAACATCATCCCAGTTGTACACACTCTGCATCACCTGTTTCTGGTGTTTCATCGGCGCGAAAATGATCAAGGCCCAGTTTTCGTCACAGCATGTCATGAGGAAAACGTACAGTTTGGAAAAAGGCGTCATCATCCCCCGGAACACATTTCGGTGATGTTGACATATCAAGAATGGTTGCCCGTATCTTCATCCCCCTCGCCGTACCAACAACCTCCTCGTTGTCGGTGAGCCCTCCCTTCGGTTCGATTTCAAATGGCAGGATCGTGGTAATCCTCTTCCCCACTTCCCAAAATATGTGACAAGCACTGGAGGATATCCGATTAACCTCCGCTCTCAAGTCGTCCAAGCAGTCGATTGCCTCGTAGATAAAACACTTGAGGTGGAACGGTGTTTCCTTGTACATGCCTTAGGTTGCCTCCAGTCCAGCACCGTTCTCACCATTAATCTCATGAGGACCGCCCAAACGCCTCGGCACCTTCCTCGCCTTGTCGTCAGGGATGAGGTCGCGTTCCTCGGTCCATTTCTCGTTCGTCAGGCCGTTTTTGTTGTACCTCTCCAAGATGGTCGTATAACCGATAAAAAACTCAGCGCTCCACTCTTCGTTTGACCTCCCCTCGGCCTTGAACAATATGTAGTTGAACATACAGACCATATATCTTTTACGCCGAGTATTTTTAACCAGGTCCGCCATGTTGCATCTACCACGAGGTACCGAACGTGATGTCACGATGACATCACCACGCATCATGTGGTGAAGCGCCACTTGCTTCTCTCTCGCTGTCATATCGCCAAACAACTTGAAGATTGTCGGCGTCAAGTCAGGTATAGACACCGTTGCGCCTGATGGCCCCTCCCTGGCCTTGATGCAGTGGAAGAGGACTTTTTTGCCGGAGTTGTCCTTAAGGAAGTATTGCCCAGGCAGTCTCCCTTCCACTTTCCCCGGCAGGTCGATGTATCTCACACCGTCGACTCGCGGCAATAGCCCCTTCTCGTACATGTCGAAGAATTTCTCTACAAGTGGTTATACTGTTTCGCCGCGTTGCGCAAGATTCATGTATCCGCGCATCTTGTTCGTCAAGTCCTTGCAACAGTCGTTCTCCAAAGACGAGTTCATGAGACCAGAATCAGGTGTCATTTTGCAGGCGGCGTTCGTGAACTCTTCCCATTTCTTTTTCCGTTTCATTCCCTCGATGTCATTCGGGGACACGGTCCTAGGCGGACGGATCCGGCCATTCCTCTTATCCCAAAATGTTCTGATTTGGCGCACAGATGACGAAAACGATATCGGGATCGAACGCTCCTCCCTCGTGTTGTCGAACGTCGAGACGTACGGATATCCTCTCTTTTTGTCATCGTCAAAGTAGACAACACGTACGTGAGAGTATGACCTCAAGCCATACATTTTCTCGACCGGTGACTTGTCTTTAATGAGTCCGTTCATTGCCTCAGCCGTGTGCTGGCCAGCGACAACATACTAGTTGTATGTATGAGCCAGTTCGACATCAAATTGCTCCGGTGTGATCCGTCTGCCTTGAGACCCGTCCCTGTTGGGCACAATGGGAGCGAGGATGAAAGTCATGAAATCCCACTCCCCGTTGGTTTCCTTGGCCGCATGATGGATGGCATCATATATGGACTGCACCAACGTTTCGTCCAACGTTCTATGGTTGAAGAGGATGTTACCTTCAGGGATTGGCAAGATCTTCGTGACGTCCACTTCAATGTGTTCCCTTTTCTTCTTTGCAAACCCATCTTCATCGAACTCCAAGAAGAAGCACCGTGTTATGTCGATGGCTTCATCACGGGCGTCGGCGGAAGGTTGCGTGTGTTTCGACATATCTCTTGGAGGAACCCCTTCGGCATCGTCTCCAGAGTCACCCTCATCCACCATCTGCTTTCTTTTCGGTGGACGTTTATCCGCTTTTGTCGCCCTTGTCGACGCGGACCCTTTTCGTTTCTTCACGCTTTCAGCGACCGCCTCTTGAGAAGCTTTGAGCGCCTGTCGAGATGCAGCGACAGTGAGTTTCTTCGCAGCRCGCTTATCCGCCGCCGCCGTTGGACTTGTTGAAGATTGTCGCTTCCTATTTTGGACACTGGCCTCCGACCGCTCTCCTGTTGCGTCGTTGACCCCCACATCAGCCGACCGCTCTTGCCGTTCATCGTCATCACCTACAGGATAGGCATGATTGTTTTCTCCATCGCCCCCGTCGTCCTCCTCATAGTATTGTTGAGACTCCCAACCCTCGCAGTCGTGCATAGTTTCCTCACGATTCTCTCTCTCTCTCCCTCTCGTTGTTCTCCTCTTCGACGTTGTCCTCATCAACACCACATCCGTCATCGTCGACGGCATGATTACCCTGTGGATGTCGATTAACACATACCCTAGAATCATCCTCTGTTTCCTCGTCCGATCCTTCGCTTATCTCCCGCGGCGCCGCCTTCCTGGACGCACCACCTTCGTCCTTCTGGCAACTGGGAGAGGGACGAGTTGGCAGGGCCTTCCTTTTGTATGTGATGACAGGGGTGCCTTGGTCTTGTCGGCTGGACGGTTGAAATGGTCCAACACACTCCATCCGGCGGGACGAACCCACAGGAGGACCATGCTCATCCTCGCCTGGTGGATGACGCGGCTGGCTCATTTTGTTGTGGCGCCGGCCCCCACTCGCTGACGTCTGCTGCGTTGGAAAACTATGTGGCGTCCTCTGTCTCTCTGTCATTGCTATACCGGGAAGATCCTCGTCCGGCGTGTCAAAAGGCACGAATGTCGGGGACATACGATGGCCGGCCTCAACCGTGGGACTGTTTTCTGATCTCCTGTAGCCATTCGTTTTGGCGAGGAATTTAACGGGGCCAAGCATCGTCAACACACTCCCGTCTTCTTTCGGGGACACATCGAAGGCTTTCATGGTAATAGCCTTACCGCCATACCCCTTGAACAGATTGTAATCCAGGCTTACTTTACGGTCGGCCTTCGCATAGTCCACTCCTTGTTCGTCGAACACCGTTGTGAGGAAAAACCTCCTGAACTTCCGTCCGTGCCCGTCCACCCTCTCATCCTCGGATTTAATAATCCCTCCAACACAGAACCAGTCGTCACCCGAGGCGTTCTTCAGAAACACAGCGGCCCCACATCCTGCCTCGTGTAGCCCCCCCCCCCAATCAAGGGCCCACTCCCTATCTCTATAGATTGTGCACGTGTTGTAGACTCTCTTTTCTGGGACAGCAGATGCTCCTCCTGATGGCAGGCACATTCCAAACGAAGGAATGGATCGCATTCAGATTTCAAACCTTCCACCATCGCCTCACGTGAGTCGCCGACGCATTCGAGCGTCGCATGGTATAGGGCGTTCTGAAAACGCCCTACCCCGTCCGGTTCCGCGAAGCAAGGCCAAGGGGGGCACGGCGTTTCGAAAACGCCACACCCCGTCCGCTCATCGGAGATGAGAGGGGGCGATGATACAGCGATCTCGAAGCGCCTCACCCGTCGGCCCTGTCCACCTACGGGGCCGGGCTACGGCATTCTGGGAACGCCATGCGGCCTACCTCCCTATCCCCTCCGAGAACTGGAGGGGGCACGACGTTTCGAGACTGCCGTACCCCCGCTCCCACACCCATCGAGAACCAGAGGGGGTACGGCGTTTCCGAAACGCCGAACCCCCTGGAGCCTGTTCACATACAGGGCGGAGGGGGCACGGCGTTTCGAGAACGTCTTACCCCTGCTCCCACCCCCCACAGAGAAGTGTAGGGGGTACGGCATTTTCAAAACGCCGCACCCCCTCGACCCTGCTCACATATAGGGGCAATGGGGTACGACGTTTTGAAAACGCCGTTCCCCCTTCGGTTGCCGGGTGGGGGCGAGAGTGGGGGTACGACATTTCGAGAACGCCACACCCCCGCTCCCAACCCCACCGAGAACCGGAGGGGGTACGGTGTTTTCGAAACGCCGTACCCCCTCGACCCTGTTCACGTACAGGGCCGAGGGGGTACGGCGTTTTCAAAACGCCGCACCCCCATCAAATGCCGGGAGGCAAAAGGAGCGGGGGTACGGCGTTTCGAGAACGCCGTACCCCCGCTCCCAACCCCCGCCGAAAACCGGAGGGGGTACGGCGTTTTCAAAACGTCGTACCGCCTCGACCCTGTTCACATACAGGGCCGAGGGGGTACGGCGTTTTGAAAACGCCGTACCGCCTTCAGTAGCCGGGAGGCGAAAGGAGCGTGGGTACGGCGTCTCGAGAACGTCGTACCCCGGCTCCCACCCACACCGCGAACCAGAGGGGGTACGGCATTTTCGAAACGCCGTACCCCCTCGACCCTGTTCACATACAGGGTCGAGGGGGTACCGCGTTTTGAAAATGTCGTACCCCCTCCACCCTGTTCACATACAGGGCCGAGGGAGTACGGCGTTTTGAAAACGCCGTAACCCTCGACCCTGTTCGCATACAGGGCTGAGGGGGTACCGCGTTTCGAGAACTTCGTACACTCCACCCCACCCCCCCTTTTCACGGTTTCGCCATAAGTGAACCAGCGTTTCCCACCCTGTACGATCAGTCCCCTAAATGGCACTGCCAAAAAAAAAACGGAAAAAGGTAAGAACAAAAAGAAGAAAGAGATAGGGGGAGAGATAAGATG